AACAGCTTGCGATGTGGTCAAAAACATGGCCAGAGGCAGAGGAGGTTGAGGGACAGGGAGACCTGTTGGTAGCACTCGTGTGTGTAGGTGTGCATGTTGTGTGCCTTCAGCTCATTTCCAACTTATGGCAACCCTAAGGCAAACCTATCATGGGTTTTTCCTGGTGAGATTTATTCAGAGAAGGTTTGCCATTGCCTTCCCTTTAGGCTGAGAGCATGGGACTTGCTCAAGGTCACTTGTTTCATGGCCAAGCTGGGAATCGAACCCTGGTCTCCAAAGTTGTAGTCCAACAGTCAAACCATTACACCACACTGGTTCTTCCCTGCTCTATTTTCCTTCTTACTCTGCCCAAGATCAAATATCCTTTACATGCAGCAAACAGTAGCATCAGGCTGTTGGAGTCCTCCTACTGAAGCTTAGCTCTGCTCTGAGGCTGCTGGACCCAACAGAAGCCAGGCCAGTTGCACTGGAAAACAGTCCCTTTGTATAGAAGATGTGATGAGTCACAGCAGAAATGACCCAGTGGCAGCAATTCCAGTGGTGGAAGAGGTAAAAGATTACATTTTTTTCCATTGTAGAGATGGTTCAGGAAATTAGCATAAAGAGAAATTGTTTTACTTCTTCTTGTTGTTGTATTCTCTCAAGTCATTTCCAACTTATGTACCCTATCACAGGATTCTCTGGGTCTGAGAATGTGTGACTCATCCAGTTTCACCCAGTGAAATAGCTGAGCAGGGAATTGAACCTGGTTTCCAGAGTTGTAGTCCAGTGCTCAAATCACTGTGCCATGCTGGCTCTCAAGTGAAGTTACAGCTACTTTACTTACCTGTAACAAATCCAGGAAGGAGAAGCTAACAGTATATTTGCTCAAAGGTCTGCTCATACTGGCTTCTGTCTGGAATGCAGGCAACATTTGTACTTCTTCTACAATGACTTTGGAAGCTAGGGTTCCCAGATCCATCTTTCTCAGGGCAATGTGTACATCTTATTTGTCCTTTTAAATTGCTGTATGTTGTAATTGTGTTTTTACAGGCTTTGGCTCTGGGATAGTATTATCCTGGAAATGAATGGATGAAGGGGAAGCAGAAGGCAAATATTCACCCTCCTAATACCCCCCCTTCCAGTGGTTGGAAAGATCTGGAGTTAGGCCAATGGAACTTCTGGGGTCAATGTCCAAGAAACAGATAGCTGTCTGGTGATCATGTCAAGATGAATGCAAATGCTGGCCTACACTGAAAAAAAGAATTTGAGCAGAGCAAGGAGTGGGAAAGCAGTTGAGGAGAAAGGAGCAGTCAGTCCTAAAGGCTGGGCCAGATATGTCAAATGGGAAGGGCAGCAATGGCCAGGGCAGGATCAGCAGCATGAAGATTCCTCTTGCCTGTCTCCTTGGACGTTATTACACTGGTCCTAAAGCAGAAAGAATCCTGCATCATTCCTGCACCCTTCCGGTTCTTTTTTCCGTGTGTTCACACGACGGACGTTGTCACACCAGCGGCAAGAAAAACGGCAGGGAATCAATCCATACCGGAATGATGCAGGT